CTCTTATTCATATATTTGGACTACACAATATACATATATATACACAAGTGTAACCTAATTTAAATCTTAAAATCATGATAATCTAAATCAATCTACTACCTAATTATTATATGATACTATAATCATATCTTTCCTAATATTTACAATTTCAAATCTTTCCATAATATCGATCACATATCTTCAACACTCCCCCTCAAGTTGGAGCATAGATGTTGCTCATGCCCAACTTATTACAAAGGTAATCAACTCGAACCCCATGTAGAGCCTTCGTAAAGAGATCTCCCAATTGTTCTCCAGTCCTTACAAATCTTATAGAAATCAAACCCTGCTGTATTTTCTCACGAACAAAATGACAATCTATTTCGATGTGTTTTGTTCGCTCATGATATATGGGATTGGATGCAATATGAAGAGCTGCTTGGTTATCACACCACAATTTTGCAGGCATTGAGGTTTTGAGATCTACTTCAGTTAGAAGTTGATTTATCCACATGATTTCGCATATCGATTGTGCCATAACTCTATATTCTGACTCTGCACTCGATCGCGAGACAACATTCTATTTCTTACTCTTCCATGAGTCCAGGTTTCCTCCAACAAAGACACAAAATCCAGTTGTAGATCTTCGATCTGCCTTGGATCATGCCTAATCAGTATCTGAAAAACACTCAATCCTAGTATGACCATGGATTTTATACAGAATACCACGTCCAGGAGTTTTTTTTTAAATAACACAAAATTTGTTCTACAGCTGCCCAATGATTAATAGTAGGATTAGACATATATTGACTAACAACACTAACTGAATACGCGATATCTGGACGAGTCACTGTAAGATAATTCAACTTTCCAATCAATTTTCTATACCTCCCAAGATCTTTTAACAATTCACCTTCTTTTGTGAGCTGTAAGTTAGGAATCATTGGGGTACTAGCTAGTTTAGCTCCCAATTTTCCCGTTTCAGATAGTAAGTCAAAAACATATTTTATTTGGGACAGAAATATTCCTTTCCTACTCTTTGCTACCTCAATACCCAAAAAATACTTTAACAATCCCAAATCCTTTGTCTGAAATTGACTATGGAGAAAAGTTTTAAGAGATGAAATACCTGCAGTATCATTCCCAGTGATAACAATATCATCCACATATACTACCAACAAAATAATACCAGCTTCAGACTGTTTGTAGAAAACAGAATGATTAGATTTGCTTTTCTGCATCCCAAACCTTTCAACTGCTAGACTAAATTTTCCAAACCAAGCACGAGGACTTTGTTTCAGTCCATACAAGCACTTCCGAAGATGACAAACCTTCCCAGACTCCCCCTGAGAAACAAACCCTGATGGTTGCTCTATATACACTTCCTCTTGGAGGTTTCCATGAAGAAAGACATTCTTGATATCTAATTCATGCAAAGGTCAATTATGAGTGGCTGTCATAGAAATGAATAACCTGACAGATGTTAACTTAGCAACAGGGGAAAAAGTGTCAGAATAATCCTCTCCATAGATTTGGGCATAGCCTTTGGCAACAAAGCGAGCTTTTAACCGAGCAACCGACCCATCAGGATTGAATTTAACTGCAAAAACCCACTTACTCCCAATGGCCTTCTTTCCTGCAAGTAAATTTACTAAGTTCCAAGTATCATTACCATCTAGAGTATTCATCTCCTCTATCATAGCATTGCGTCATCCAGGATGGGATAAGGTTTCATGAACAGTTTTAGGAAGGAAGATAGAATCAATAGATGTAATAAAGGCACAAGAAGAGATGGGTAAATGATTATAAGATACACACGAAGACACAGGATAAGTGCATTGACGCTTACCTTTGCAAAGTGCAATAGGAAGATCATTACTTGAGACAGGATCTAGTAACGAAGGAACTGGTTCAGAACATGCATCAGGAGACTTTTGTCGTCGAAAATATACCTGAGTAATTGGAGGTTTAGCAGGGGAAGAACTTGAGGATGTGACAGTATAGATTAACAAATCATCATCCTCCTCCTGACATGAATGAGATGAGGATGGGGTAAAAGGTGTATTTTCAAGAAAAGTAACATCAACTGACACAATGTACCTACCGAGACTAGAACAATAACATCTATATCCTTTTTGGATACGGGAATAACCAAAAAAAAAATATTTCAATGATTTGGGGTCTAATTTAGTGACTTGGGGACTAGAGTCGCGGACAAAACATGTACACCCAAAGATTTTAGGTTCGATGGGAAACAAAGGTCTATTTGGAAAAAGAATATTATAAGGAGTCCCACCATTCAGAGCAGATGAAGGCAGACAATTAATTCGAAAGCAAGCTGTGGACATTGCATCAGCCCAAAAATATCTAGAAACATGCATTTGAAATGATAAGACTCTTGCAGTTTCGAGCAAATGTCTATTTTTTCGTTCTGCGACCCAGTTTTGGGATGGTGTATCCACACAAGAGGTTTGATGAATAACGTCATTTTGCACCATATAAGATTGAAAAGGTACGAATAAATATTCTTTGGCATTGTCACTTCGCAATATTTGTACAGAACGCTTAAATTGGGTCTTAATCTCAGCACAAAAAGCACAAAAATGAGAAAACAACTCTGACCGATTTTTTATCAAATATAACCAAGTTATACGAGAATGGTCATCGACAAAAGTAACAAAATATTTGAATTCAATTTTAGAAATGACTGGATTAGGTCCTCAGACATCTGAATGAACTAATGCAAAAGGAGCATCCGCTCGTTTATTGGCTCTAGAACTCAAATTAACACGATGATGTTTGGCAAACTAACAAGACTCACAATCTAATAAAGTCAAACTCTGAAATTGTGTACAAAGTATCTTTAACAAAGGGAAAGAAGGATGACCCATCCTACAATGTACTTCAAATGGAGTTACAATTCCAGAACAAGCTATGGACTTTGGTATCTGTGTGTCAAGAATGTAAAGACCTTCAGATTCATGTTCTTTACCAATAATCTGCTTCGTCGTAAGATCCTGAAACAAGCAATAGTCAGGAAAGAATTGGGCAGAATAATTGAGGGCACGAGTAAGTCTACTCACAGAAATTAGATTAAAAGACAATTCTGACAAACTTAAGACAGATGACAATGAGATTAATCGAGTGGGTGAACTGATCCTGATTCAAGAACACAAGATTTTGACCCATCAACTAACGTAACTGTAGGTGCGGATGTGTGTGGGTGAAAGGTAACAAATAGACTAGAATTACCTGTCATATGATCTGTGGCACCAGAATCAATTATCCATTTGGAGGACTAGGACACAAGGCATGTGTTTGGTTTACCTGACTCAGCGATGGCAGTTACAGGAGTAGATGAAGACTTTAATGATTCTTGATACTGAGAAAATTTAACAAATTCATCTGCAGAGATCGTAACAGACTTTTCATGGTTAATAGCATCATTGGTAAAAGCAATATGTGCGGATTGAGTTCTCTGATTCCTGTACTGCAATTTCTTACAATCACGCTTCATATGACCCGACTTATGACAATAGTGACACACAACCACTTCTGCATTCTATCCTCGAGTGTCAATTCCTTTACCACCACTTTTGTATTGCTGTTTTCTAAGACCAACAAGAGCACTGCTGGACTGAACAGACTGGGTATTCTCTGTGCGAAGTACCCTACTAAATACATCTTGCAAGGATGAGATCTTAGGACTGGAAAGAATCTGAGATTTAGCAGCTTCAAATTCAGGTGAAAGATCAGCCAGAAAACTCATAATTGCCATCGGTTCCCGTTGAATTTGCTAAACTTTCACATCAAAACTAAACGATAATAACAAATTAAACTCCTCATAAGTTTTCTTAAAATCCATAAAATAAGTCATGATGGACTTATCTTATTTCTCTGCATGATAAAAGGCTTGACACACCTCATATATGCAAGAAATATTCCCTTTACCAGAATACAAAAATTATAAATACTCCATTAACTCATTAACAAATTCACAGTGATTAATTAAACTAATTACCTCACTGCCAATAGAATTCCGTATTTGCAAGAACAATCTAGTATCTTCCCTTAGCCATGTCTGTCTTGAACCATCTTTTGGAGGATCATCAGTCAGATGATTGTCTTTATCAATGCTTCACAGATAAAGACGAACCGTTTTGCTCCAATCAAGATAATTAGAATTGTTGAGTTTGTGGTCCGTGATCTTAGACATCACAGGAACCACATCAGACGTAACGACAGATTTCGTTTCTGTCATGAGTTTAGAATTAACAGAAAAAAAATTAAAAAAAGGGCAGATCTGAACTCTTTAAAACAAGAGTGACGAATAGAACACAGATATGTCCTATACAGAACCAGATGAACCGAATGATAACTAATAAATTTTTTGGTAGCGGACAGAGACCCTAACCTTGATGGTAGGGCTCTGATACCATGAAAACTAAAAAAAAAAGGGCGAGAAAATACTCTTATTCATATATTTGGACTACACAATATACATATATATATACACAAGTGTAACCTAATTTAGATCCTAAAATCATGCTAATCTAAATCAATCTACTACCTAATTATTATATGATATTATAATCATATGATACATAATTAATACATGATACTATAATCATATCTTTTCTAATATTTACAATATCAAATATTTTCATAATATCAGATCATATATTTTCAACAACTACCAAGCCAAAGATACAGCATCAGCAATTTTTAACAACAGAAATTAGTAATCACTCATCCAGTCAATACTATCAGCAACGCTATCAATAGTAGCAATATTGGCAACAGTCAGCAATTATCAACAGCAGTCATTATCAAAATTTTAAGGCTAAACAGAGTTAAGCAACATTCATCCAAAACAGAGAGATAATCCATAAGGACAATATTAATTCAAAATACAAACGATGCCAAAATAGAATCCTTAGTACAGAACACAAACTGTTTATAATGTAAAAGATGCCAAAAGCTTAGAAGTGCCTATATAAAGTGCATTTGCCTAGAAGTGCCTAAAAGGTGATCTTGGAGGATCCAGACCTTCTCCTTGCTAAGCGAAACTGAGCATGATTTTCTTCCTCTTCAATGTCCTCGTCATCATCATCATCATCATTCTCTTCAATCTCTTCTTCAGTTGCTGGAGCTTTTCCTTTGTTCTGTGACTGAAAACTTGAGGCACGATACTCTGGGGTAGTTTTAGTAGTTGGCTCAGTTCTGGACTCCTTTTGGTGTGCATTTTCATTTTCTTGAGAAATTGGAGGTACAAGCAGATTCCTTTTAACAATAAAGGTGACTTGTTGTTCGGATGTCATGGTGGTCATCAGACCATCTTCAAGGAGTAGGACGTGTTGTTTGAGATCCTCAAGCAGAGAGATGACTTCAAGGTTGGATAAAAAAGACTTGGTGGCTGACTTTCTAGAATGGATAGTGAAGGATGACACATACATGGACTGATCACGAAGGGTTCTAGGGGTAACAGGAGTTTCATGAAGGTTCTTTCTCCTAGACTCTGAAACAGTTTCCTTGTAACACCAATGCCCCTCAAAAATTTCAGATTTTTCCTTTCAAAATAAGTTTTGGAGAAAACAGTTGATGCACCCTGTTTTGGAAATTTTCCAGTAAAGTGGATTTGAAAGTGAGCAAAGATAGGAGTTAGAAATTTTTCATAGAAAAGTTTCCTACCACTATCAGTGCTGATTTTAAGCAGGAATTTACACATAACAAAGTCGAAATCATTTTGAATTTTTTCAAGAAAATAAAAGAACAGATAAAGTTTCATTTTATTGGCATCGTTCCTATGACCATCTGTAGGGACCAAAAGATTGAAAATTATGAAAAAGATGATCAAATTTTTAGAATTGAGATCTTCTAATCTTGCCTTAACAGGAGTATTAAAATGGGTTTGAAAATAAGTCATCAATTTGGCAACATGAAAATGATGATATGCAAAAGAAAATTCTTCTTATGAAAAGAAGTTTACAATTTTTTATTTAAAACCATCTTCAATTTTGGTTTCCAAAACAGTGTTGACAATGTCAGGATTCAACTCTATGTTAACAGAATTGATACGTGATATAAGATCAGTATGTGATCTACCCTTCCTAAGGTTGCAAAGAATTGATAAAGCATGTCAGAATAGTATGTGTTTGGAATAGTCAGAAAATGGGTCTATTTTTTAAATTCAAAAAGGTTGAGAACAGATTTAAGGTCAAACTTACGGAATTCGTAAGGGATGATGGTCCTCTGAGTGATGAAACCTTTCTGCAAGATCCATTCGAACCTATCCCTGGCATCATCATCAATGAACTTGGGCAAGGGAGTGGGTTCCTCTGCAGTTTGAGTCTCAGGTTGCTCATTTTCAGGACGCATTCTCTTTCCAGTACGATGAGTAGTTGGCACAGTACTCTGGACACCAGACCTCGTCCTTGGTGACTTCCTGGTAGATGGTTCAGTAGTTTGCCGTTCCTCAGCAAATTTTTCTGTATCCTTCTGTTTCCCTGAAAGATCAGCAGTTTCCCTTTCCTTGGGTTGAGCAATGCTCTTCCTTTTGGTGGTCTTTTTTCCCTTCCTGGGTGATTTCCTGACGGTTACATCTTCATTGGTGGGCTGCTCCAGTTCCTCTTCATTGCCACTAGCTGGATGCTCTACAGATTGTTGCTCCTCCATCTGTTCATCAGTTGGTTCAACAGATGGTTCTCTGGTTTGAACAGTCTGTTTTTTCTTTGCAGACTGCTTCGTTTTGCCACCACGATTTTCAGTTTTCTTTTTGGGTGACTTGATGGAAGGTTCGACAATTTGAACATCTTCATCCTCTTCATCTCTGAGCCTAAAAGTGCGTTCGGCACTCACAAACCCTCCTCTAATTCTCACCATGATTGCAATGCAGTGTGTTTTTCATGTAGTGTGTAATGCAAATAAGTGTCAAAGAATTTGAAAGTGCAGTATGAACTACAATGGATGTTAGAATTCGTCCACCGAGAGTAAATTTGGGTGATTAGGGTTTAGGGCTAGAATTGGGATTCATAGTGCAGTTAGAAGTTAGGAGAGGTTATGATGAGCAATAAGTTCGGAATAGAAATGTAATGGTGATGGTCAAAGTGATTACTTGGAACTTGTTTCGAAGAGAGATGTATTTGAATTTTGAAATTGAGAGAATATGAAGGGTTGCGTCCGAGACGAGGGGTGAGAATGAACTGAATGATGCAGAGAACTTCCTTATAAGACGCAATTTTTGAGTGTCGGACGGCCAAAAGAAGTAAAGCGTCCGACACGATCGTTCGAACCAGAACTTTTTGAAAAAATGATCAAAAACACTGTTGGACGTCCGTTCTAACACATTTGATGTCCGATAAAGTGTGATCAGAGAATTTTTTAGAGTATTTTTTCTGAAACGCCCAATTTTGTTCTCAAAGACACAAATTGATCCAGTGAAAAGCCTTTTGTGAGAATATCAGCAATTTAATCTTTTGAACAGATATATTGAACACAAATTTCACCCTTATGGATAAGATCGCGAATGAAATGATACTTTATGTCTATGTGCTTTGTCCTAGAATGTTGGATGGGATTTTTTATCAAATTTATTGTACTAGTATTATCACAATACATAGGCACACAATCATATATCAATTCAAAATCATTCAATGTGTTTTTCATCCACAATAATTGAGCACAACAAGCACTGGCAACAACATATTCCGCTTCGATTGTAGACAGGAAAATGGCATTAAAATCTATCCCATGGTTCACCAACCTTTTCGATCAAACCCATGTCAGCTCGAGTTACAAGGTTAGCTTATGAGTTTGGGCGTTCCCCACTATTATAAGTATAAGTCGATGAGATTCACTCTAATCGATATCAATTCAACACAAATATAATTTTTATTTCACATAATTCAATTATAAATTCAGTTAAAATAGAACGAGTGCGATAAAGTATACGCTCGTCTCGACAATTTCAAAATACTCAATTAATAATGAACAATTCAGTATATAGCAACAATTCATGCACTTGACATTCACCAATTCAAAAATAAGTGAGCAAATAAAGTCTTTAGTGGTTTGCTCCGAGGTTTCCTTCAATATCCTCTTGAGCGCCGGAAGAAATAGTGACCAACCATCACTCACATATACTCACAACCACTTATCATTCGAGAAAGAAAGTGCATTTGTTTAGATATAGGATAATGTCTTAAAAAGAGAACTTTAGTCTCTTAAAAATCGAGATTTAAAAATGAGAATTTAAAATCTCAAGTGAAACTTGAACCATCCATGAAATTAAGTTTAAAATGGTCTATTAATATCGAAAAGAAATGAAAAGTTCTTAAAAACCCATTTCCTACGAAATCAAAAATTTTCCGCTTTACGCGACAAAATTTGAAAAATTAGATCTTGTGTTTGGTATGTCAAAAAATGGCAAACTTTACACTGTTGAAAATTAGATTAAAATTACTAAAAGTTCCCAGAAAACACTTTTCCAAGATTCCAACTCGAAACCATTCAAATTTCAACTCAAAGTTGCAGATTCAAGAAGATAAGACAGAACCAGCCTTGGTTTTCAGCGATGTTTGGAAATTCGGCAAAATTCACAGAAAGTGAATCAACCTCTGAAATTTATTAAACAATAAGAGTTTCAAATAAAGTTTCAAATACAATAAGAGCAACTAAATTCGGAGTTTTGAGCAACAAGATATAACAGTTTGAAGTCGGTGGATTTTCACAACCTGACTAGAGGATTTCCAGATTTGAGGAGCAATGTTTGGAGCATTATTTGGGCCTCGAAATGGTATTGAAATTACACCAAATTTGGTGCACTTAAACTTCCATATATGGACTACCTCTCTATCAAAATTTAGATAAAAACTCGCATGGGAACGTAGCTAACAAAACGATCAAATTTTGTGAAATCTTTCAAAGCAAATCTGTCATCCTATTTCTCTTTCTTTTTTCAAATATTTTGTCCAACGAAATCAGCCCCAATTCGTTCCATTTTTGAAACCACAATTTTAGAAACATTTAATTAGAAATTGATGGTTAAATGACACTAAAAGTTTCGAAATATAACATCCCAAAACAGATTTGGCCATTCGGTCAACAGGGAAGAGAAAATTTTTCAGTTTCCAGCTTTGTCGCAGTTTCAAAATCAAACCATATCTAACTCTATACAAGTCCAAATTGAGAATGGTTTATGGCGTTGGAAACTAGGTTCAAAATGCTACAATTTATCAGAAGACATTGTTTTGAAAATCTTTTCACAAATGGGACAAAATCGAGCCACAAGGTGTAGCCTCCCAGTTTCATTCGAATAGACAGTCAAAACAAAACAGCCGATTCGCTACGGATCACTCAAAATGAAATATTAGGGGATTTTTATACCGTTGGAAAGTCTGAATGTCTAGTTTTGAATGCCCATGACGGCACTCAATTTTGAATTTTGCACAAAAAGTTATGTTCAAACAAAGGACCACTGTCCAGTTACCCTGCTAACAAATTCCAGATTTGAAACTTTTCCCAAAACTCAAGTTTTGTGCAACCATTCGACACGATATTTGAAAGGCACTTTCTATACACATAATACAACATATATCCATCAATTTAACAATCAACCAAGCATCAAAATTTCGAAACTAAAGCAGCACAACATGACCAGAATTTCAGCCAGCTTCCTTTCGCAACTTTCCTTCGATTTCTCTCCACTTTCTAACCATAATCATCTCATTCATCACATAAACAACCATAACCAAACAATCAAGCCTCAAGTCAGCTGCCTAGAGATCTTATCAAGATAGCTAGCCTGTGATTTAAAGCGAGATAAATGGTTCGTCAAGTCCGCTAGCATATAAACGCGATTAGGGTTTCAAACCCATGAACATTAACCGTTAAACTTTGGATAATTGGAAAGATTAAAGAGATGAAGTGATTACCCTTTAAACCCTAGATGAACACCAGATTTTTTCGCCAAAGTTTCTCCAAGAAAATCCACAAGATTGCTCCTTTCTCCTAGATGGAATGAAAACCCAAGAATCTATGCAGTTGGATGAAGATTTGCAAGTGAAATTGAAGTTAGGAGATGAAGTTTCTTTCTTCCCTTTTCTTTTCTTCTTGGTAGGCTGAAACAATGAGCTTGGAAGGGAAGAATGAAAAAGGTAGCCATAAAGAGTGCACCAAAGTCAACTCTCAATAGTATCGCGCTAGTGTTTCGTACCACCACTTTCTCTCGACTTTGATACACTCATGCACTAATTCTCCAATGTAATTCCTTTAATACTGTAATTACTCATACTTACGAGTCTAATACAAATTTCTCAATTCACCAATAAATCGGACCGGCACGACTTATGAGAAACTTTTGACTCGAATACTATAAAAGTTTAATTTTAATTCACTCACATCTAATCCCTCAATTAACCTTTCTTAGTATACTATTAATCATTCTTAATTCTCCAATATTATTGCACTCTCGCATCGAATATTGCCTCGAAAAATGTGTATTCGCTAGTCCTTACAAAACAAGTGGCAGAAAATTAATTTTACTAACGGGACGTTTTAAAAATATAAGTGAGATATTGTTCGATGCAAACGAATTCAAAATAGTTGAAATAAATTATTCAAAGAAAATGGGTGAATAAATAATTAAATAAACCAGTAAAATAGAATTAAAAGTAAAAAAAATTCGGGTCCTCACATTTTCTTGTGTTTCATTGTCTCATTTATTTCTTTGGGTTTATCAAATGGCAATCCTTGTGATTTATTAAAAGTATCTGGATACCAAATGACATACTTGATTAACATTGGAAGTTAATTTGATGCAGTTCGCAGAGCAAAGTTGAGTTTTTGCTACAGCGGAGAAGAACGTTCAAATACTCATGTTTACACATTTCTCGAAAGTGAGGTTAATTAGATGGTAGTGGCATTATTTTGTTATTATCATTATTCCTCTTTTGCAGGTCCAAAGGTCCAATAGTATCACACTGGGACAAATCTTTATAGAAGAAGTCATCTGTCTCCATCAAAATTTTTGAAGTTGTACAAAAGGGATTCTATAACAATTTTATAACAGGTTTAGATTTTATCACACTAACCAATTTTTCGACAGGCTCGGGTTTTATCCTATTGACCAGTTTTATGGCGGGCTCGGATTTTATCCCACTGACCAATTTCTACAGTAGGTTCAGGTTTTATCCCACTGATCAATTTTATAGCAGATTCGGATTTTATCCACTGACCAATTTTCGAGAGGCTCGGGTTTTATCCCACTAATCAATTTTGTGGCAGGTTCGGGTTTTATCCCACTGACCAATTGTTACGACAGGTTTGAAATTTATCCCACTGATCTTTACATGTTTGCTTGTTTCAATTCACGGCAAAATAACTACAGATAAATATTTGGTGTCTACGTCTTTGTCTCGAGTTTTTTCGAAATTCAGACAAAGAGGGACAAGCTGTAGACATCAAAATTTCAATTTTATTTAATTCAATTTTATCTTTATTTTTTTATTATTTATTCTTGTTTTTATTTTATTTTATTTTAGTTGACTAAGTTTGCAAAATGATAGTTAGTGTTTATTTTTATTTATTTTAGTAAATTAGGTTCATCATTTTTCTTTTTTAAAAATTATTTTTGCATTAAATTTCTGAAAAAGAAAATTCTCAACAAAAAATTTATTTTTTATCTTTTCAAACTCAATTTCTTCCAAATAAAATGAAATTTTTGTAAGGCAATCTCAATTAGGAATTAACACTTTATTTACCCTAAATTTGTTTTGAAAAACAAAAAATAAAAAGGAAAAACAAGATAGGTGGAAGGCATGTATAGTAACTAAGTGGGATAGGTGAGCATTAGCCGTGTGATTTTGGCATTTTGCACAACACAT